GGAGAGATCTCAGTGGACTCCTTGTGTCGCCAACCCCAGCCTCTGGGCACGCTCCCAACATTTCTGATGGACAGGAATTCAGAGTCGGAGTGTGTGTGTGTGTGTGTGTGTGTGTGCGTGTGTGTGTGCGTGCGTGCGTGCGTGCGTGCGTGCGTGCGTGCGCGTTTGTGAGTGCGTGTGCGTGTGTGTGCCACCTTGTTCGGGATTATGGAATGGTGGACATTGAAGGAATATACTTTCAGTTTAAGAAGATTGCTATTAAATAAATTCTTTCTTTTTTTTCCATTTACAAAATAAGACTCGTGACATCATTCTTGCTTGTTTTATCCTATAAGTTAGCAACCAAATAATTATTTGAACTTTTAACATATGGTATATATGTTTCCCAAGGAAATGCTATTTTCCCAAGGAAATGCTATGTATATGTGAGGCTAATTCAACAACACACACTAATTGTCTTATTCATTACTATAGAACACACACAAATAAGGCTCACACAATTTCAAGGTCCATGAATTAACCTACTGCTGCTGCTAATGGTATGAAAAATGGGTAACATTGTGAAATGAAGAAAGCAAGCTTTTTAAAGTGCTCAATGTGATTTTCAAATGTACCTAGCATGTTTTTAACCCATAAAAAATATTTTGTTGTGGTGTATGTTTGATTGTTTATGAGGTGAGAGAGAGGCAGTGTTTGTGTGTGTGTTTGCTGTTGTGTGCTCTCCTACGACCCAAAGCAAAACCAGCTCCATTTACATTGTGTAAGGACAAAGTCTGGAGCACAGCAATGGCCACTTGTTCAGAGACACGGGGAAAGTGTCCCATTATGTGGTGCGTTTAGCGTGTGTTTGCACAAGTTGATGTACTGTTTATTGCCGACACCTGGCCTAAATAACCCTCTGCTGACCAGGCCATTACTTCACGGGGACAAACAGACCCCCTCCCCTGTGTGGACTGGATACTTTCCTTATGGTGAAAGTAACTGCTTGGAGATTGTTCTTTTTGGAAACTTCAGCTTTACAAATTTATGCATTTGTCAAAGTATAGCTCGCTGAATTTGCTCTGTTGCTATATGGCCCCTGTTTGTAAAGAAGCGGGTACTTAGGTGACTCATATGCTACTCCAAACAAGTTAAGGACCACCGACTCCTTTATATTACTATAGTCTGTTATGCCATGACAGATAGTAATAGTTATAAGAAACAATCGGGTGGTTCTTAACTTTGTTTTTAGTAGTATAGTAATATGCCCGGACATTAAGTAGTGTGAGCAAATCAGGAGTGGCCCTTAACTTTTTTGAGTAGTATAGTTTTTGAATCTACAAACCCCCCTCAATAGTATACCAGGAAATTTAACATATGGGTTGTAATAACAGGGACAACTTGATTTTCATGTTTAAGTTTGAACACCTCATTGCTGATGCTGCAGTTACCACACATTATGCATGACATAATGAGTTTTGATGGGTTTTTTTATGATTCCCCCCCCCCCCCCCCCAAAAAAAAAAACAACAACAACAAAACACTGAAGCCCATAGAGGTGGGTGCATTATCCTTAGGTGCGAATGATACTCAAGAAAATATGGTATATAGTCATATACCATTGGTTGATGCATGTCATCGTATCCCAATAGGGTCGATTGATGCTCATGATATAAATCACTGGATTTTCTGGTCCAGACTTGATTATTTACAGATCGCCATCATATAGCTGGAATATTGCTGAGTGTGGCGTGAAACAACAAACAAACTAAATGAAATAGAAAACGATGTACAGCGAAAACGTATGTTAACCTATAGGTCAATGACCTCCTCAGGGTGATTGACTACTGTCACATTGTGAGTTTGTCACAACAGGGAGCACATGGGCATCAATTTACAAATTTTATCCTTTAAGAGTCCGATCCCTAAACAAATTTATATAAATTGTGACTAAGAAGGCCAGTGATCAGAGGCAGTTGTGTGACAAGTTGCATAAACACCATCATACCGCTATGACAATCCCAATATTTTGTATCTCAAGGCCGAGTAATCCATATCCAAATCTTGCCTTCATGATGGACAAACAATGAAATCCCATATCTGCCCCTTGTCAGCCTCTACATGAGTCAAAGTCCTCTCTTGTTTATACAGTCCTGAATATTGCAAAGGAAAAAGGCATTCCCAATTCACATCAATTAAAAGAAGCTGGAGAAGGCCTGTATTAATACGCCATTGCCGTTCTAATGGAAGCAAAATTGTCATAAGAAAGAACTTCCTTTTAAGGCTCCGACAAGACGAGGGATGAGGGGAGCCTGACGATATTGATTGTTAAAGGCGAACACTCGGGAGCCAATCACTTTGTGTCATTTAGCTTGAGTGTCCTTCGTTGTGAGTGCAGCTCCAGGATGACTTACGGATTAATAAGCAAACACAGCAACAAACCGATCCTCGCTATTACATTTAAAGAGATGATGAAATAAAGATGGGTTTATTGCATCTGCAGCTGAGTTTGAGCTGACTCAAAGACTATCAAGGAGTGAAATTTGAGTGTTTTCTCTTGGGGAAACTTCCTCTTAAGATGGTGATTTGCAATAATTCTGGGGAAAATTGGCCAGGTTTACACTAGCCTGATTGTGTTGTCCAGTGCTGCTACTGCATGTAGCCTTTGGCTTTCCCGCAATGACTGTTGATCCGAGGAAACATTGGTCTTCATTAAGAATATTGACAGTGCAGCTGGCTATTGCCCTATTGGGTAGCAAAGTGGGTAAAGTAGTAGCCATCACACTGAAGGCCTGGGTTCGATTCCCCAGGAGTATATTTCTGAAGCCAATTTTGTTGTTATTTCTGGATGTCCAAAAGCGATATAAAACCGAATACCCTACTGAACGTTCGTGTTTATCATTTAAACATTATGTTGGACACATGACACTAATTATTTTCTATATCAAAAGGACAAAATATGCCTTTGGCTGCAAATACGCAGCTGTGAAAACTTATCTCCTTTCTACACTGAAAAACAATCCATGAAAAGTAAGCCATTGGTATCAAGTTCTATTAACTTACTAATAATTCATACAAGTGCTGTTACAAAAACAGTATTCCTTTCATTTTTCTAATCATTCATGACAGAGCTCTTATTTATAACAATTGGCAGGAAAGGAATCAGATTGTTTTACCACTATAAAGATCAGTGTTGTAAAAAAAGTAGCCTTGTTCCAAATCCATGGATGTATAGTAATTCTATTCTTATAATAAGCATGTCTAGATAAGAAGACAGTTCAAAGGACGCCAGTCTATTATAGTGACAACTTGTTCGTATTATTTAAATGATCTAGGAATGGTTTAAGCAAATAATCATTTCCTTGAAGACTTGTGCAGTCTATTGATTGGAAAGGCTACCTTTTTCCAACATTCCCATTCAGCCTGGGGACAGGTCATCTTGTTGACAGCCATTTGAGGCAACATAGACTTAAGTACATTATTATGGTGTTATAAATCAAAGGCAGGAGCAGTCCAATACTGCTTGGGTTTTCTTTAAACATTTCCTCCGAATATGAATAAATAATGAATAACATTTCTTTCACTGAACATGCGGAAGGTCTCCTCAATGAACCATAATAATTGCTCAGTCACACCCATGCACTGACACAAAGAAAGGATGCATTGTACTCTCAAATAGGAGATTGGCTTGTCAGTGTATACATATAAGGACTTGATGTATGTGTTTATTTAAGCCTCTGTTCATGCTTCATGCTGTTTATGAGACCTGTAAGGGACTGTCTCAATAGTTCCTTCAGCCACTAGATTAGAAATGTGCAATCAAGATTTTACCATACCACCACCCCACCTAGATTAAAACAGTGAATAGCCAGATACCCTTTCCTAGTTTAGTATATTCATCATTCTGTCATAGGAATATCTGTCCTAAAGCTGGATAAAGTTGTTGAAATATTGAAGATCCGGGGTAAAAAGGGTATTTAAGATGATTACTATATGAAAGTTGCAAAAAGTTCTAGTTCAGTTGGGTCCTCAATAAGACTGCATGGTATTGGTGGTACACTGGTGAACAGTGATACAAACCTATACTAATGTGTATTATAGAGCTGAGTGTCGCCTGGTATCTTGCGATACGAATCGTATCACGATACGGACTGACGATACAGCTGGTATCACGATACACTACATCAAATAGTATGAAATGATGAAATCACTGAAGTACAGCTCTAAAACCTCTTTCTTCATACATTTATGTATTGATATCTCAAAAACTTCTAAAAGAAAACCACAAGAACAAAACAGTAAATGAAAGGATGGTTATAACATGTAACAGTTAGTCGGGACGTCCTCAGCTACCACGTCCTTGTGTTCTGCCATGCTTACAGGTGGTGCAATACTACTTTTGCTATTATGGGAGGTCACTCTGTTACTTCCTGTTCTATTTATAGCATATTGCGATCTCACAAACTGATGTTCAAGTATCATGTGTACCTAAGTATCGATGATATCGTAGGTATTGGTGAATCGATACAGCCCTAATGTATTGCGATACAATTTTAATGATTTGGTTTATTGAGAAATTACGTATATAAGTTATTTCTTTGGATTTATCAATAAAAGGGGACATACGGAGGGACATGTTTGTATTTAAAAAATTTAAGGCCAGTTTGAAAACTTGAAGAAGACATAGTGGTGTGTTGACACTGTAATGGTGAATGTGTAGAAGGAATGAGCAATCTCACAACACACATTCACCAGCACCACTCAACGTCACTTCCACCAGCACAGCCAAAATATGGCCAAAAGTGTTGTTACTGTTTGACAATCGTCGCAGCCAACAATATCTCGTGCACACACATGCAGACTGTTATTTTTTTCGTCACTTTCATCCATCCCTAGAATTCTCATTGTATAATTGGATCCAAAGGTGATAATTAGGGTATTGCATCATCTATTGTGAAAAGTTTTTATAAGAATTTCTCCCAATTTTTGACAATTATTTTGAAATTATTTGCCTCCTTCAGATTTAGACGAGGACCGGACCCATCATGACACGTCCAGCTACGGGTCGGCGTCCCCTGTGAACCATCCTCCCAGCCCGGTGTCAGTGGGCTTCGGGGAGATGGACGGCATGAGAACACATGAACTTACTGTCAATAGTTTGGACTCGATCAGCTACACCTCAGACTTAGATGGACATGGGTGGGATTTTGAAAGACATAGCTCAGAAGAGGAACTTATTGAAATAAATAACCGTGATGGTGTTGCCGAGAAGAGGAAGTGGTCACAAGTGAATCGTGGGAGTGTTGGTGACAGTGCTGGATCCTCAGACGAAGAAGTGCGTGAACTCCTTAAACCTCAACCGGTTGTACTCAGTGCTTCCCCACCCTCGGGTGTTCAAAAACTCCACTCCTCACCACAGGCCAAGTTCTTTCTTGCCAATGTGAGTCCCACAGCAGTGGTGGCAGCCATATCGCCACGGAAACGGCACAGACAACTCTCTACCTCTGATTGTCCAACTGATTTGGATCCCAAAACTGTGATTCAGAGGCCCTGTCTCGACTTTGAAAAAATGCAGGTGAGTAATGATAATAATTATATTTGCATCTCTCCAAACACAATATCACACTCCAAACACTATATCACGCGCCAAACACTATATCATGCTCCAAACACTATATCGGACTCCAAACACTACATCACACTTCAAGCACACAATCTAACACATGAACACAAGACATAATTATGGGATGTACTTTACAATTGTATTGCTGTTGGTTCTTGTAATATTAGTGTTGTCTTTGCTATACAAAGCTTCACTAGCAGTTCAGATGGTAAATATTAGATGATTCTGATATACATTCTGTTACGAGGTATATTGAGGCATCAGGATTCTGATACGATACATATTGTACAATCAGGATTCCAATACGATACATATTGCACAATCACGATTCTGATATGATGCATATTGCACAATCAGGATTCTGATATGATGCATATTGTACAATCAGGATTCTGATACGATGCATACTGCATTGTCCAGATTCTGATGTTATACATATGTGATAAGATTTATGTTACAGTACACAAACATTGTGGTATATTTTCAGTTCAAACTGTGACAGTCTACATTTACCTTTTATCATAGTTTGTGACAATTCCACCTTGTAAATGATTGCATCACAGCTGCAGCTGTGTATTGCATATCATCACGTATCAACCCCATAAACAACATCAGCAGAGTAGTCTCTCTCTTCAATGTGAGTAGGACATGAGAGAGGACAGTCTTTATAGCCACTTGTTAACCACATCAAGACAGTCCAACAAGTCTTTTGGGTCATGCTGAATAATGTAAGATTGAGTTACAGGCCTACATCTTTTGATGACTGATCTTTTGAACTTGGATGGTATACTTAATGTTGCCCAGCCAGAGATAAGGCTCCCAGTTTGTATGTGGAACAGATAACCATCAAGGTTACTGAAAAGGTAGGCACGGATTCAAGACTTGGTACAATCAGCCGAATCACCTGCTGCACAGTGTCAGATGGCAGTGCACTAGGTAATCCTGGGGTCTAAATCACTGGGACTGGTTGTACTTGCAAATAAACAGTGTGAGATAATGGGCACAGATTACCCTGACATTGGGGAGATGGTCCACAGGATACCTCGATCTCATGTCCGTCAGATAGCCAGATATCTGGTCAGGCAGACTGCCTCTGGGCTTTGTGCGTTTACTTACCAGGATTATTTAGATGATGCCGGGTCACTCACAGGCTATGGAAACATGAAAAAAAGCTTTGTATAGATTGCTGGGTTCTTCTTTCGGGGTCGATTCCCCCTGTTAGTGGGGCCAGATCCCTTTATTGTATGTTTGATCACCGAGTTGGACTCTGCATGTGCATACTATGTTTGTTTGGATTCATCTTCAAAGATATCCATGTGCTGACTTAGCCAGCTGCTCAACATGGCTGGAGAGATACGTGCTTGTGATCCAGATATCTGGCATACCTTGTTTAAACAGACATCCTATAAAAAGTTAAAAAGAATTGACCATTGTTTTTAAGTATTATGTTTAGTGTCAAATTTATTGCTGATGTTTATCCATGGACTTTCAAGTGATATTGTTTATCCTTGTGAACCATATGGATTGTACCTATCCATGTAATATCTAAAAGATATTGCCTGTTCATGTTATAGCTAAATGATATTGTCTATCTATGTGATACCGTATTGATTGTACCTATCCATGTAATATCTAAATGATATTGCCTGTTCCTGCAATAGCTAAATGATATTGACTATCCATGTGATACTGAATTGATAAGGCCTATACATGTGATATTTAATTTAACATATCCATGAATTATTTGTATGGATTTTCTATTAGTCATGGAAACAAACATGGTACAAAAAGTTAAAATATTAATTTTCCCATAAACTTTTTTTCTTTTGTGTAAAATATTACCCGTTAACTGATCTGACACATCTAATACATCACAGGATGTGCCAATGCATAAAAGAGAACATCGTGTAGTTTATGTAGCTCCCTTTATAGCAGGGTAGGGTTTTAGTGTACTTTATTATGTCGGTTTGAGCGTTGTCCCATGTTTATCCTGGTGTGTGATATTGCCTATCGAGGCATTATTTAGTAAACAAACTGATCTACATCATTGTTGCTGTGTAAAGAGCGGTTCTAAAGCAATCAAGAGTCATTGTAAGTATGTGTTCATGAATAAATATTAAAACGTTATTGTTGACACATGGATGACAAAGTCATAAAAGTGGTGTCTACTCACACATGATAAGGCCTTAAACAATCAGGCACTTTTACCTTTTGACAACAAAATCTCTTTTGGGTAAGTGATTTGTTTTCCTATCCCCAGGTTGTCTTTGGTCTTTGTCAGCTGTCAGAGAGTTATAGCACAGTGGTTGCAGCGTTTCATGTGCTCCAAACCTGTGTTTGATTCCAACATTGGTACTATGACTGAAGTCTACATTTTCTGCTCCCTCCTAGACTCTGCTGGAATATTTCTACAAGTCACATTTATCCAAGTCTCCCAGACCTTAGAGAATAAATTCAAAAATGAATCCTACTCAAGTCTAGGTTGCCTCATCTCTGAAATTAAATATTGTTCTGGGCTCAATTTGGATTTTATTTTTAAGTTTGTAAATGTTTATTTTTAAATAAGATAACTTTATTTCTGGGACTCAATGTTAGTCTATGTTTTTCCCACTGGCACTTTTTTTGTCATGCAAAAATATAGTGGTTACAGTGTTAATAATAAGACCAGAAAAACATTACTACTCCAAAATAAGCCGAAATGAGCAGACCCGTGAAGATCCGGGTTAGAATAGGTCTTCAGCAGCCCATGCTTGTCATGAAGATCCGGGTTAGAATAGGTCTTCAGCAGCCGATGTTTGTCATGAAGATCCGGGTTAGAATAGGTCTTCAGCAGCCCATGCTTGTCATGAAGATCCGGGTTAGAATAGGTCTTCAGCAGCCCATGTTTGTCTCCCTGTGAGGATCCGGGTTAGAACAGGTCTTCAGCAGCCCATGCTTGTCATGAAGATCCAGGTTAGAATAGGTCTTCAGCAGCCCATGCTTGTCATGAAGATCCAGGTTAGAACAGGTCTTCAGCAGCCCATGCTTGTCATGAAGATCCAGGTTAGAATAGGTCTTCAGCAGCCCATGCTTGTCATGAAGATCCAGGTTAGAATAGGTCTTCAGCAGCCCATGCTTGTCATGAAGATCCAGGTTAGAATAGGTCTTCAGCAGCCCATGCTTGTCATGAAGATCCGGGTTAGAACAGGTCTTCAGCAGCCCATGTTTGTCTCCCTGTGAAGATCTGGGGTAGAATAGGTCTTCAGTAACCCAAGCTTGCCCTAATAGGAGGCTATGCTTATCGTAAGCAGCGATTGGCGAGACGGTCAAGCTTGGTGACTTGCCTGATGCATGTAATCTTCTCCCAGATGATCATGATGTCAATCACTGGATTGTCTGGTCCAGACTTGATTATTTACTGACTGCCGTCATATAGCTGGAATATTGCTGAGTGCAGCATTTAACAACAAACAACTAAACAACAACTGAAATGATCGGCAGACTGGTTGGACTTGTCCATCGGTGTCTATCCTGTCTGGTTATTATTATCAGGCAATGAGTTTGACATGTGAGACTGATACTGACTCATGTTTCATTGGTGTTGAACAGCCCTATAGTCAATATTAGTCGATGTATTGACTTAAGGGGCAGTGGTATACGCGCTGCACATGCTCAGCGACATGCATATTGCACCTGACGCTGACGGAATTGATTAATTAATCCTTCTCCTTCACTGGCCAGCATGCCCTGAACATTCAGATTGTGTCGTACACAAAAGCAGCCGGAAATGACATATTGTATGCCCATATCAGCTGTTTGGATATCAGACAAAGGAGTTGTTTACCTGTACTACTTACTCCATTGATATGAGGTGTATATTACATGTGTCATTGAAGTATACGGAGGATATTCACCGCCGTCATGTCCACTGTATTGTTATGTAGATAACACTGAGTGGTTTATTTGTGATATAAACACCATGGTTATTAAAGATTTGAATTAAATGCTGATGTGATGGTTATCATGCAAATGTGTGTTTTGGGATGGTAAATATCCTGTATTAGGCATAAATATTGTATTAAGTGAGCCTTGGCTCAGATGTGCCCCATTTGAACAAATTTCCTGTATCTTTGACTATTATTTTGATACTAATTGCAATTATCCCAGTAATTTGTACAAATCCCTGATCGTAAATTCTGATTTGATCACCAAATACACGAGGTCGGTGCCATGTTTGTTTGGAAACACTAAAAGTAGTACCTACCTGACCTTTTATCATGTTTATACTTGTATATTTATCCATGTTTATATTTGACCTCAATGGATATTGTTTTTATCCATGGGATTTACCCTGCAGGAAGCCAACACATTATATGAAAATTGTTGTTATTCTGCATATGTAAAAAACCTATCCTTTGTTTCATATTTTCTTTAAATATGGTAAATACTGTATTGAGTTTTTTTTCAACAAAATAAATTATAGGATGAATAATTCTATATCAGGCAATATGAGAATATGCATGAGAGATAAATTACACGAGTCATGTGGGCTTGTAGCATGTGTAGTAGAATGCTTACTAGTTTAATGAACACAAACCTTTCGTTAGTGGAATAGTAGGAGTCTGATAACAGTATAAGAAGTGTAAGTTTTCAAGTGTGTTTAGATGTTTAGTGTGCCCTTTGGAGTGGCTGAGTGAGTTTGATTTTATGCCACTTTTAGCAATATTCCAGTAATATCACGACGGGGAACACCAGAAAAGGCCTTCACACATTGTACTCATATCGAACCCGGGTTTTCGGTGTGACGAGCGAGTTATTCCATTAGGTTACCCGACTGCCCCTTTGGAATTTTAGCGTACTATCATAGGCATTATATATAAGGTATTAAAATAAAATAGCCTTGCAATGTATTTATGGTTTAATATTTAAAACACTGCAGTGCTATTTTATTTTAATACCTTATTTATTAATAT